CGCAAGCTGATCAGTGGAAGTTACTCTTATTTTCATAAATATTATGATTACTGTCCTCTTCTACATAGCACACATAAACGCAAACTTTCATGAGAATACATTCCTACTCCGTATTACCTTAAGCTTCATTCTCTCTGTTTCAGGGTCTTGAGCTGTTTAGGCCCGGCTCAGCATCAGCCGAACTTGCTGAGGACCACCTACGAAAACTGGTCGAGGCTTGTGAGCTACCGACTGGCTTCCTGTTACTTGTAGACATCGATTGGGGGTTCTCAGGTGTTGGCATCCGACTAGGTGAACATTTGATAGACGAATTCCCAAAAGGATGTCTTATCACTGCGCCACTCACTGAGAACTCCTGTCATCCCACATTTGTGAAACGAGCCATACATGTTAGGTTCTTTTTTTATAATTTCATATTTTTTCTTTTGTTTTCTCATATAGTCCTTTTGTTATAGTACCGCCTAACTTGCCTTCTATTTTTATCGTGACTTCATCTCTTGCCATTTTCCTCTTCCATTCTTCCTTCTTCAATCTTGCTATCTAAACTTAAATTTGATTGTATGTGTAAACCACTTGCATTTAAGGGTTCTACTTATATACATTGAGGTTAATAATATGGCTGTGACTCATTGTTGAATTAGTAATCATCATTCAAAATTTATGGCACACTTTGATTACTGAGGCTCATTTTTCTATTTCCATTTATGCGAGTCGCCTTGACTTTCTAGGACAAATACCTTTGAAATAGGGGTAATTATCTTGTTTATATTGTGTTTGCAAAGAGCATTAGTGATTCCTTATAAGCATAAATAAATTGCTTATCTTCCTTACACGAGCACACGGCTTTTGGTTCACTGGTCTTTATATTCATAATATTCTAGATGAACTTTGTTAAAGCATTGATACTGGCATACCTTTTATTTCGTTTGAGAAGGCGAGTGGCAAAGATTCATAGATTGGTCTCACAGGATACCGAAGGAGAGTTGCCTTGGACTTGTGTCTGTTGAATTGTGCGAAGAAGAACTTGACTCATTGTTTTATATCCCCGATGATTCCGTATTGAGCTTTAGTCTGTCATGTGGCGGAAAATCGACAGAGCCAGAAACCATTATTCACAAACAATCACCAAAAGCCTAAATAGAGATGACCGGCTGAGATTCTACTTACTTCTTATACCCCGCTAAAGCCTTCTATTATCCTAATTCACTTATGCTGATCGGTACTTTTTCCTCTTCGATTTCCTATCTTCTATCACCGAGCTTGAGCTGCTTTAGTACATAATTCGTTGAGCTACTTAGTTTTTATGAGGCAACCCTGTAGGCTTAGAGAATAAATTTATCAAACATGGAGTGTACTAATTTCTTTCCTCTGGTGCTGTTTTTCTCCTGACCTCTAGTCTGTTTTTTCAATCTCTTGGTTGCATTATAATGTTTTCTGTTGAATTTAACTTATTTGATGATAATCACACTCCCTTATGACTCCTCTTTCCTGGAGGTTTATATGAATACTTATTTATATTGATTAATTTATTTATGTCTTTATTTTATCTATTCGTTTTTATATTTTATTAAATGCTTTTCTTAATTTTTATAGGCTTGTAAACCCATTTACACACGAATTATTATCTAAATTTAAACAATACTATGCATTCACATTCATACAGCCAAGATCAGATCAGAATCAACGTCTCTTATCGCTCTCCTCATGCAATGCATCTCTCTTCTGCTCGCGATTGGAGTCCCATACCAACTGGTCCAGCCATTCCATTTGGCTTCCCATGGCGCCGCCACCTTTCAGCACTGAATCGACATCGCTCTACTCTGTTTTTAATTCGTATCCGTCATCCGCAAATATTTGCCATTCTCAATATTCACAGTCACTTAACTGCCACTCTGCTTGTCTGCTAGCCGCTGCTCTTGAAGTGGCTGCTTCCCCGTTGCGTATGCCGACTGGACGGCAATTTTACAGTACCTCACAAGAGTCCGAGTTGTTAGCCGCTGTGGACGCAGCCTACGGACGTCGAGTAAGTCGGACTGATTTTATACGCAAGTTGGAGACATTTTTCACTGTCCTATAGTAGATATGCAGACCAAGATGGTGGGGCTCTACATTCGTATTAGTTTCCTTTAGTTGTTTATTTTTGATTTGCCTTTGTTTTCATAACTTGGTGGGAAAACCAGAAAGACCTTGTAGAATTTATCCAGTTCTACATCATTTGCCATAGTAATAATAATAATGTTCAGCATTGGAATTTTGATTTGGTACATTCCTAGAAGTTTCTTTCTTAAAAATTCTGAGAGGTACAATCTTTAGCTTCGAATAAAGGCATTCCTCTTGATCAATTTTCTGTTAAACCATTTTTTAATCTCCCAACTCTACTTAATTTAGCCAATTTACCTATCGACACCCATCTGTGTCCTTTGGTTGCTTTTAGTGAATTTAATGAAGTTGTAATGACATTTAATTGATAATCAGTTTGGCTACATCTCTCGAGGTTTTCTCCAAACTCATGCAACACCAAGCGGTGCATGACCCATCGGCACTGTTCCGTGGGGACTAAGCTAACCTAAGAGAAACTTCGTTTCAATGAATCTTCTGAGATAACATTGTTAGGGGGACTTTCATTTCGTATGAAAGGGCATGAATAAGAGATTCGTTGGTCGATCTCACCAGATGAGGACGAATGAATCTCGTCGGACTGCAGCCGTTTGGCTTTTATACGATATTCATGTTAACGCAGTCCACGAGACTTCCTCTCTCGTTTCAGGTAAAAATGTGCTTAGCTTTCGTCGATCATATGATGGACATCATCAGAGCTGGGTGTCATTCTTGTAAAAGTCTCACGTTAACACTAAAGCAAGAATACTATCCGGCTCTATATTACTTATATTGACTCAATCGAGCCAAAATATTAAAAATCTAGATAGTTCGATATAGAGTGGTTTGGTTAATTTTCTTTCATACTGGTCTTGTTATTTTTGCTCGATTGTATGAGTAT